TAGCTCAGAGGTAAAGCACTTGGCTGGTGTGTAGGAAGCCCTGGGTTTGATCCTCAGTATGACACACACACAAAAAAAATGCCCTCAAATGTTCCAATTGGAAATGCTATGTAAAGATGAATAAATAAGGGAGGACAATTTCTCTGTAGTTAAATTCTGTTTTCTTGAACAAGCAGAAATTGAACCATGAGGAAAAGAAAAAAAAGGGCTAATGAGTAAAGAAAAGTTCAAAACTACTCTTTAGGAAGACAAATTCCCAAAGAAAATAAAATGATCTATCATACCTTTTATAGATTGATTCCCAGGGTTGGAGGAGAAAGGTCAGATCTAGTGAATCTAGGGACAAATGAACCAGGGCTGAGAAATGGCCAGGTTGGTAGAACTGGATCCAAGGGAAGTGGCCAACAGTCTCCAGCCAGGGTCCCAGCGGGAGCTACCTTGGGTTTCATGACAGGGAACAGCACCAAGAGGCAGCAGTGCCACACACAATGCTGGGGTGACTGTGTGGGTGAGGTGAGTGACAATGTGTCAGGTGCTCAGACTTCGGACCCGAGTCTGGGCAGGGTTAGGATGCTGGTCACATGACCTAGCGTTTGGTGTTCAGAAGTAGCCTCAGTTCCCAGCGAGAACTGCAGAGAAACCCACAGCTACCGGCACAACACCACGTGTACCAGGCAAGATGGCTCCCCCAGTGGTCCTGTCAAGGTCGATGCCACAGGTAGTCAGAACCTAGCATCCACCCCCATGGCCAGCACTGCCTGGGGAAGAACAGGAAATCCTCCAAAGCTCTGACTCAGTAAAATATCCTGAATTTAAATTATATTTAAATATGTGAACTCCACAAATAAAATGTTATGATTGTTTCCCAACAAAAAAGAGAAAAAGCACAAAACTCCTCAAGAAAACAAATAATATTTTCAGGTACACCACATACATTAAATATTATTTTTATGAATATATTTTCAGTTCCAAATATATTGAAAGCACTTGTTAAATGTATCAAAAAACTACCCCCAAATAAAATAATGCAAAACGTACAACCTACCCTCAAATTGAATTTTAAATAGAATACTGGTCAGGTTTTCAAGTTTGGTTTCTGAGAGCATAATCTAAAGATGAATTCACTTCAGAGGTAAATGAAAAATTTGCTTGAAAAATAAAATAAGTGATTATCTCTATATATTAAAGTTATTCATATTGTATGAAACAAAAATCGAGTATGATAAGGGATTTATTTTTGGTAACCAGGGTCATCACACTGAGCTATACTCTCTCAGTCTCTCTTAAAAAAATATTATTATTTTTTAAAATTTGAGATGGGGTCTTAGCTAAGTTACTAAATTGGGAGGATTACTAAAAGGGAAGGTTTGAACCTGCGATCCTCCTACCTCAGCCTCCCAGAGCATTGGGAAGATAAATGCTTTTGTGTTGCTATCATCTATCAAAACATGGCAAACTTCCCTTGGTGAACTCTGAAGAGCACCAGTAAGTGCCCATCTCTGTATTAATTTACTGCCCAGTGCTGCCAGATCAGCGGTGAACAAAGTGTGGGCTCTTTCTCATTGCTGAAAAAACTAAAAGCTTGATCATCCAGGCAACCAGGAGGGAAAAGAATTGACTAATGAAACTGAACAGATTATATTATTTTCTCCTTCTAGAACAGTTTTTTTTAAAACCTCATCTACAATTGAACCAAACCAAAGGATTGTATGGAGAGGAATAGGAAATGCTAGAAGAAAATGATTTTCTTTACCACCTAGTCTATAATAACAATTCTAGCCCTCCAACAAGAGTTTAAAAAATGACTAGCTTGCAGAGTGGCTATGGTCACAATTACAAAACTGTTGGAAAAATACTGCACCTAACAATTCTCCAACGTTAAAAAAAAAAGTGCATTCAAATTTTGTGTCTGTAGCAATTGCTTTGTGTTGCCAGAAGTCTAAGAATGAGAAAAGGATCCCCTCTGTCTCTCGTCCCATTTCCCACAGCCCCGATGCTGAGCCATATGGCCCATCGGTGTGGACCGGGTTAGCCAGGACTCCAGAGGTCACCCCAGAAGACTTAGTGGGTGCAGCCTTAATTAACTAATGACTTGGGGCCGGGGGAGGGCCGGGGGAGGGAAACCCAAGTATCCAATTTCGCCTTGATTTGTGAAACCTTAGTGTTTGAAATGTTCCACAGATACCAAAAAATAAACTTTACATAAAAGCCCTGAGCAAACACGAATTTTATGTTGTGAAATCCTTCATAAACAGAAATCAGATGGCAAAGGTCCCTGCCCTGTTTTTCAGACTGGCTGAACACACAGTTTATCGCTGTGTCCACCGCCGCAAGCAGCATCTGCCCCGTTCCCACCGGGTGACACAGATTTCAAAAAAATAAGTATGATTAATTAGATAAGTTAAATGGCGGATGTAAAAGTTCCTGCCGCCAGCTCTTCGTTTTACACGCACGAAATGTCATAAAAACCTTTAAAAAGAGCACGAGAAAGAAGTCCGGCCACTGCAAGAGTGAAATATTTAGAGCAGTAGGGAAATTGTACCCAGAGTGCGGGTCTGTAGGATTAAGCACTGAAGAGTAAACCGCAAGGGAAGGTGGCGGAAGGGACGCTTCCAGTAAGAGTGATTCACAAGATAATACCCAGGATGGTAGTGACAGCGGACCCGAAAATACATTTCACTTTCAAATGGAGTCAGTGACTATAAAAAATGTAAATACCAGCTTCAGTCATCTCCCCCTCCCCGACGGTGTTTCCTCGTTACCCATTAACTCCAGAATCTCCCTAGCTGACAAAATGTACTGACAAAGTAACAGCCAGATAACAGTCCTTACAGCCTGAAGACCAGAGTGTGGCCCTGAGGGAAGCCCATTGAAACCGCACCGGACCCCAAGTCCGCCTTTGTCTCGCCTGCCCCCAGCACTTTTCAGTGGGGAGAACAGAGTCCCCCCTCTGGCCGTGACTCCGGAAGCTTGGCGCCTATCCACAGAGGACACTGGAGGCTAGGGGCCCCGGCCTGGGGTCGTGGGGGCCCCCCCGCCTTCTGCTGCAGCTACCCCCTGCTGCTTGGGACCTCAGGACGGGGCCTCAGCTGCTCTGCGGGAGCAGCTGACCTGGCTCTGCTGTCCTCGGCCCGCACAGCCTGGACCCGGCACTCACTTCCCCCCAGAGTCCACCTTGGGAAGAGGACGCTGCCACACCATGTGCCCAAGCAGTGTGGGGCTTGCGCCAGAGCCCCTGGGATCCGCAAGGGCCCGAGCCTGCCCAGAAACAAAATCCTTAAACAACAAAGCGCTCAAGTAGTTTTCCAGGAAAAGTCTTCACAGTCAGCTCGAAGACCACTGGAAATCTGCTTTGCGAGAAAGGACGTGTGGAGGACGGCCAGCTACTGTGGTCAGGGACCTTTTGCTGTCACGAGTGCAAAGCTCGTCCCCCCAAATGATAAATGCCCCCAAATGTGCGTGCAAAGCAACGCGGTGACCATCTGCACACACACAAAAGCACCCTACAACTATGCTACCCAGTCAACAAGCAACTTACCCTCTCTGGCTTCCTGTAAATTCACCCCCATTCTGAATGGGGAGACGAATTTGTAATTTTTAAAAATCTCCTGTCTCCCTTTTCCCCCCCAGCACTGGGGATTGAGCACCAGAGTCTTTGCCCTGAGCTACATCACTAGCCCTTTAAAATTTTTTTTTTTCAAATTTTGAGACAGGCTGAGTTTGAACCTTCGATCCTTCTGCCTCAGCCTCTCAGAGTGCTGGGATTACAGAATACTGTACCGCATCTGGTTCTCGTCTCCTTGATGGTCAGCCCTCAATAAAAAAGTAAAATAAAGATTTTTGGGGCAAAAATCTCATGCTATAGTATTGGCTTCTGTGTGTCTCAATGAGCCCTTGTACTGTACGTACTCACTCGGTATGGCCGAGTGGCCTGGCTCAGCTGTTGGTGTCACACACTCAGGCAAGGTGTGTGCTTGTGGGGCAAAACATATTTCCCCAGAGCTGGATCACAAAGATCTCACTTCCAGAGCCGAGTCCCTGGGCAGCCTCTCTGCCTCAGAATCTGACTCTGGTTTCCACCGGCCTACACTCCCTCATTTCCGGAAAGTGGAACTGCTCCTACAGGAAAATGCCTTTTCTTGCCTCCTGACATCTCCCTCCCTGCGGCGTGGTTCCTGCCAGGAGAACACTCTGGTCCCTCTTCTGCCTCACCCCTCTGCTGGGTGGGAGGAGGAAGGCATCCGCCTGGTGCCTGCACAAGAAGCCAACACTTTTCCCAAACACTTTTTGGAGCGAGGGTGCACGCAGGATGCACGAATCTGCTCTTCTCCGGCCACGTCCCGCGGGTCAGAGAGGCAAACTGTGCCCCCCACGGGGAAGAAGGAAGAACCCAGGAACCTGACGAAACACGCAAATGGTGAGCCCCTCTTGCCTTGGGTGTCACCAACCGGGTCTTGAGCTTTCTGGAAAGTCTGTGCAGGAAAGGAGCCATGATGGTGACACAAGGCCCCGCGCCCACCGATCGCCTCAGAGAAACGCGCATCCACAAGAGGAGAGAAGGGAGCTCTCTGTGGAACCACACTGATGCGGGGAGAGGTGCCTCAGCCATGGCTGCACAAGGAACCACCAAGCAGCTGAGCTCACGGCCTTCCTAACAGTCCAGGATGTAGAGCAGTGGAACTCCCATAGGTCTAGTGAGGACAGTGACAAATTTTGGGGGGTAGAAGATGGGGAAGGGGGGCAACAGCGTATAATTCACACTTGGCTGTGTCTGAGAGTGGGATCAAATCCTGCTTCTGCCCTCGGACTCTTACATGAGAGATGTAAGGCGTGTGTCCTTCGGTGGCTTCTGACAGAGGGTGGGGAGTAGTGTGCCCCCCATCCCCTGGGCTCCCCCATCGAGGATCAGGGTGCTGAGCAGCAGGGCACAGGGCTGCAGCTGGATTGGGGCTGACACACAGGAGCCCTGGGCAAAGGAAGGGGATGCGGGCTGTTCTTACCACTGCCTGCTCTGGCTTTGGAATTTTCTTCAGGGCAAGTTTAGACTTCTTTGCTCGGACAGACTGAGTACTCATGGAACCGGAAGTTGTCCTTGGAGATGTGGAGCTCCTGCGCTGTGACTGCCACGGGGACAAAGAGGGTTCTCTCTTCTTGGGTGATTTCAGGTTCTGGCGCACGGAAAAAAAGAGTCAGCATTGTTATTCTCATTTCATTCCTCAGCTGTGTGCCCCTTCTTGCCCTCCCCTGACCTGGAATCCCCGATTTGCAGCTTTAGCCCCCCAAAGCATGATCTGATCATGGACTGGCAGTCTGGGCTCACCCCGCCCCAGGGCCTGGTACTGTAGGAAAGGCACACCAACAAGTCAGTGTTCTCTGGAAGCACCCAGAAAAGCGTGGAGGTGGGGGACTGAGGTCTATGTCCAAGCGGGAAGCAGGATGGGGAGTAGGACGTAGGACGGAAGGGTGGCAATCCGCAGAGGCAGGGCACCCGCCCTGGGAGCAGCCCACAGGCACGGCCACTGGTGTCTGCTGGCCTGCTTCACTTCCGGGCACGTCCTCTCTCAAACTCAGACAGCAGAGAATGAGAGGCCTCCGCGCAGCACATACGCTTCATCCCAGATGAGGGGGGCATATACGAACCCTGGCGTATATTTCCATGTCTTCTTTGCGTTTACTGATCTGTAAAATTCAAGGCCCATATAATGTTTTATTATTTGCAAATATTCACACAGAGAAAACAATTTAAATCGTGTTAATACACATTTGCAGTCACGATGATCACATTCATCGTGGGGAGCTGGTGCGCGGGGCTTCACCCGTCTTCATGCCTTTGACTGCCCTTTCCCTTCCACTCCCTGCATCTCTTGTTCCCTTTCTTGCTTGCTTTGTCAAACATCTCTAAGCAAGGGAGGGGTACTGTTTAGAAACCATGTCACTGACGAAACTCTTAGGGACTCTGAGTAATTGTGTTAAATGTGATTAAAAGAGGAGATAAATTTATATTTGGGAGAAAAGCACTTACAGACAGGTGAAGAGTAATATATAAAACTGTAAATTTTAAAAGTCGTTTGCATTTATTTATTTGCTTAGAGATTATAGAGTTGTTTGCTTATGAGGTGATAATTTGATACATTATTATAATAGCTGTAAATCCTAAAGTCTTATAATACATTTTTGCAGGTATTTAAGACAGTATGGAGCAGGGGATTTAGCTCAGTGATTTCCCCCACTGCCTCACAAGCACAAGGTCCTGAGTTCGAACCCCAGTACCAAAATACAGGAGTCAAACATCAGTAATATAAGGAAAATTTTCTGTAAAAGTTAATTCTAATTTGCAGTCAGAAAAGAATTTTATCAAAAGTACTGTTAATACATGCTTCACTAATATTAATATTTTAAATAATGCTATGAGTACCAGTTAGTGATTCTAATTATGGTGAACTTTATTTGATATTAAACAATGATGAGAAATGCATCTAACCATTACTCTCACTGGCAACTAGCTGACTACAATGAATTTTTAAAGTTTCTCTCAACTTGCAGAGCAGAACTCGGTAGAAAGATGTCTCATGACATCGTGCAGTCTGTACAGTTACTGGTGCCCATTAATGATTATATTTAAAAGTCTCAGTAGGTTTGAACCCAAGCCTAATATTAGAGTTAAGCTCCATTATAATTATTTAAAATCATGTTCTCCACTATTCTTTAAAAATCCATTAGCAAATTGAATTCAGTCTATAAAACGTATGCTAGATTATGACCAAATGGAGTTTTTCTCAGGAATGCAGAAATGCTTTAACATTAAAAAAATTCACAGTATTTTAACCAGTTACAGAAAAAAGGAAAAAATAATAATTTCCATAGCCAAAGAATAAATATTTGACAAAATCCAACAGCATCTCATGATAAAAACTAGGAATAGAAGAGAAATTCTAAACTTCTTTTTTTTTTTTTCTTGGTACCTTGGATTGAACTCGGGACCTTGTACTTTCAAGGCAGGCAGCAGAACCACTGAGCTAAAACCCTGGCCCTTAAACTTTGACAAATGCTTGCAATAAAAAACTTATACCTCAATTATACTTAATCATGATATAATAAATGACACTCCCTTAAGGTTGGGAACAAGGCAATAATATTTATTTTTGCCATTGTTATTCAATATTGTATTAGAAGTCTTAGCCATTGTAACGACACTAAAAAGAAATAAAAGGCATAAAGATCAGAAGAAATAAGTAAAACTGTAACTGTCTGCAGAAGACATGACTATTTAAAAGGCAAATCTTAATCTACAAAATTATGATAGCAGCTGATACATTAATCTAGCAAGGATGAAGGATATAAAGCTAATATGAGAGTCAACTGTATTTTTATATACCAGTACCAAACTATTAGAAATAGAATCTAAAAACAACTCCACTTTGCAACAACATCAAAAAAAAAAAATATTTGGGAACAGAGTTAACAAAAATGTGCAAGACTTTTCACTAAAAATGAAAACATATTGCTTACAAAAATTAAAGAAGACCTAAGAAAATGGACAAGCATACTATGCTATGGAAAGGGTGACTTAGTTAAGAATATATTAATATTCTAATCCCTTCAAATTGATGTATACACTTATTACCATCATAACCACAGTATGATGGTAATAAACCATAATCATGTATGATTGTAAAAAACCTCCACAGTATTCTTTTGTAAAGTTTTTTTCCTAAAAGCTACATGTGAATACAGAAAATCTAGAATTTTCAAGATGCTCTTCAAAAACAGCAAAGTTGAATTACTATATTTGATTTCAAGACTTAAATACATCTTTAGTATAGTGAGCTCAAAATATACCCTTGCAATTTTTTAACAAAGATTCCAAAATAATCAATCCAAAAGAGAAAAAAAGTTATTTCAACAAATGGTGTTGAAATAAATGAATATGTTTTGAAAAACACATGAAATTTAACTCCTATCTCCTACTGTACACAAAATTGAATTTAATGTGAACCATTCCTGAACAAAGTTTAGACAACATACAGGAATATCTTTTTTTACTTCAAAGGACAGAAAAGTTTCTAAACATATATAAAGCAATAGCCATAAAAGAAAGTAGGTGATAAATTAGCCATTTAAATACAACTTTTCTGCTGTTAAAACACACTGTTACATGGTCATGGCAATGCATGCCTGTGATCCTGGCCCCAAGGAAGGCTAAGGCAGGAATATCATAAAGAAATGTGAAGCCCCCTGGGGACAACTTAGTGAGACCCTGTCTCAAAAATTTAGAAATAAAAATAAAAATAGCTGGGAATGTATCTTAGTGTTAAAACACACCTGGGCATAATCCCTAATACTGCAAACAATAACAACAATAATGATAACATAACATGTTGTGAAGAAAATGATCAGAGGGGCCAGAGATTTAGCTCAGTGGTGCCGCTGCCTGCCTCACAAGCGCAAGGTCCCAAGTTCGATCCTCAGTACTGGAAAAAAAAAAAAAAAAAAAAAAAAAAAAGAAAGGAAGGAAGGAAAGAAAGAAAGAGAAAAGAAAATGATCAGAGGGGCCAGAGATTTAGCTCAGTGGTGCCGCTGCCTGCCTCACAAGCGCAAGGTCCCAAGTTCGATCCTCAGTACTGGAAAAAAAAAAAAAAAGAAAGGAAGGAAGGAAAGAAAGAAAGAGAAAAGAAAATGATCAGAAAAGGCACATCCAGGGAGAAAATATTTACAAATCTGAGAAAAAAAAAATTGTTTCTCAGGAAACAATTTCCGGTTGTGCTATGTTGTATGCTTAGTTTTTAATAACTGCCAAACTGTTTACCTAGTTGTATAGTTCTTCTGTATTTCTTCACTAATAAAAAGACAACTCAATGTTTTAAAATGGCTGGTTGATTTTGAAATAACTGTAAGTCACCTAAAGCTGTGAAATAACACAGTGAGATCTTGTAGGACACTTTCCCCCAATGGCAAGATCTTGAAAAATTATTGTAACATCCCAATCAAGATTTCTGATATTGATACAACCCACCAAGTCCATTCATATTTCCCTAGCTGTCTGCGCACTTGGGTGTGTGTTTAGAGGTTTATACAAAATAATCTCATCCCAGCAAAGACTTTTGGGGTTGTTGTTATTTTATAGCCATGCCCTTCTTACTGTGCCCTTCTTCTACATCCTTAACCCTGGTAACCCCTACCTTGTTCTCCATTTCTAAAATTCTGTCTTTTCAAAAATATTGTATAAATGGAGCATGCAAGAAGTACACATGAGAAGTACATGTTTCAGCCACATTCTGAAGCAGTTCTTGCAGTCAGGCCTCTTTCATGGGTATCTTTCGATGTGTTGGAATGGGTGCCTTGTTCTGAATAAATCCCAAACGTTTACCTTTTGTGACCATTTTAACTTTGGGGAAGAACAGAAGTCATGCAGTGCCAGATCCAGTAGCCAAGTGGAGGGAGATGCACTGTATTACGTTTTCATGAGCCTGCCTTTCTAGCGGGTAGCCCTTGGCAGCAGCATTCACTGTATTTTTTATCACAATTTGTAAAGACCTTCAGGAGAGAGGGCTTCCACCACTGCTTTAGAAAGTGGCAAGAAGGATGGGATAAGGGTGCCCAAAGAAGGTGGGAGTATTTTGAGGAGGACTGGTGGCAATGCGTCTTGTATTGCAATACTTTAAAAAGATCGATCATCCTTTGTATAAGTTTTCATTTTTCTGGAAAAAAATCATGAGTGGAACTCCTGGATTATACAGCACTTTCATTTTCTGCTTTTCAAGAAAGTGCCAAACTGTGTTCCTCTTTATCCATTTTATCTGCATGTTTGCAAACCTTTAATGTTATTACTACGATTTTTCTTTTAAAAATTTTAATAGTTTGATAGGTCCGTAGTGATATCTTGTGGATTTAATTTGTGCTTGCCTTGTTAATAATATTGAACAACTTTCCTGTGTTTCTTCAGGGAAACCTCTGATCATGTGTTTTGCCCATTTTCTAATTGATTTGGGAGGGGCATTGAATTTTGAGAGATCTTTATACATTTTAGATATTAGCCCCTTGCTAAATACAGATTACAGATATTTTTTCCTCCAAGTATGAGGCTTGTCTTTTCATCTGGCCCCTATGAACTTTTCTGAAGCAAGAACATTTAATTTTGATGGGATTTGTCATGGGGAAAATTTATGTCCCTTCAAAGTCAATATGTTGATGTCACTGTGATGGTATTAGGAGATAAGGCCCTTCAGAGATAACTAGGTCCAGATTAGGTCATGAGAGCAGGACCCTTAGGATGGGATTAATGCCTTTATTGGAAGGGGTCTCTCTCTCTCTCTCTCTCTCTCTCTCATTCTCTCTCTGACAGCTGTCTGAAACCTAGGAACTGGGTCTCCCCAGACACCAAATATGCTGGAACCTACTTTAGCATGGAGAGTTCTTTTACAGAGCTTTTAAAAATGAATTCAACTTTGTTTTGGTCATATGATTATTCAGATTTTTTGTGTAATGGTGATTTGATTGGATTTTAATAATTAGTGGTGTTTGAGGAATTGTTCAGTTTTTCTAAGTTGCAAAATTTTTTAGCATAAAGTCATTTGTAGTTTCTGATCATCCTTTTAAATTTACACATTTTATAGTGATATCCCATTCCTTCTCAATACTGGAGAGTTTTGGGTTTTGCCTCTTTTTATATTTGTTAGTTT